ATGACAGGGCCTCCCTAGTGGTGCAAGGATAGTCTTAGTACTATCAAGCTACAGCCAGCTACTGCAGCGTGAGTTTGACCCCCAGCCAGGGAGCTAAACCATATATGATGCAGCAGACCTCTCATCTCACCTACTACTCCCCTCAGCAGTGTATTTCAGTAGATCTGCCTGTTCTGCTCCCCACTTTGTCTCTTGTGAATCCGCACCTCTGGCCTATACCCCAGTTCCAGTATGCATAAATAAAAATCTTTTAAAAAAATGTTCACAAGGTCACGCAATGGATGATTTGACTCATAGCAGGAGTATAATGGACCAGGCGAGAATATAATAATAATGAACAACTATATACCAGAGACATTTTACGGGGTGGAGTGGGGAATGGGATCAAAAAACAGTGGGGGGAGGAAAATGTGCTGGACTATGGTGATGGCACATGGGTGATTTGGTGATGAGAAACCCACAGGGATTACAACTGAAACCAAAAAATGCACAAAATGATGTAAAAATAAACTACTATTAAAAAACAAAACAAAAAATGTTCACAAATGCCCTCCCTGGTGGTGCAGCAGATTAAAGCACAGCACTGTGAAGCTGGCCAGAGGCTGCTTTAGTGCAAGTTTGATCCCCGCCGTGGAGATGATCTATATGGAGCAGCAGACCTCTCCTGTCTTACCCGCTGCTCTCCCTTCAGCAGTGGGTCAATTTGCTTGTTCTGCTCCCCACTCTGGCTATGGTGAATCCACTCATTGCCCTTGCACCTCTGGCCTGTACCCCAAGCTCTGTATGCAAAAATAAATAAATCTTTAAAGAAAATGTTTTTCCTGGGAAGCTACATGCAAAAAAATGAAACTAGATCACTGCCTCACTCCAGTCACAAAAATCAACTTGAAGTGGATTAAAAACCTAGACATAGGAACGGAAACCATAAAATACCTAGAAGCAAAGATGGGTCAAACACTACACGACATACACTTCAGTGACATCTTTAAAACCACAGCACCCAACGCCACAACAGTGAAGGCAAGGATAAGTAGATGGGACTACATCAAGTTAAAGAGCTTCTGTACAGCAAAAGAGACATTACTAAAAACAAACAGACAGCCCACTAATTGGGAAAACATTTTCTCACACAAAAGTAGTGATAAAGGGCTGATCACAAAAATATATGGAGAACTGATGAAACTCAACAAAAATAAACAACCTCATCAAAAAATGGGCAGAAGAGCTAAAAAGACACTTCTCCAAAGAGGAAATGCAGATGGCCAACAAGCATATGAAAAAATGTTCAACATCACTCGTAATAAGGGAGATGCAAATTAAAACCACAATGAGATACCACCTCACCCCAATGAGAATGGCACATCTTCAAACAACTAGCAACAACAAATGTTGGCGAGGATGTGGAGAAAAAGGAACTCTCCTGCACTGCTGGTGGGAATGCAAACTAGTACAACCACTATGGGAAACTGTTAGGAGGTTCCTCAAACTGCTAAACATGGAGCTTCCCTACGACCCAGCAACCCCACTCCTAGGTATCTACCCAAAAGACATAAAAACACTGATTGAAAAAGATACCTGTACCCCCATGTTTATTGCTGCTTTGTTTACAATTGGAAAAACATGGAAGCAGCCCAAATGCCCAAAAGTAGATGACTGGATTAGAAAGATGTGGTACATATATACAATGGAATATTACTCAGCAACCAAAAAAGAGAAACATGTCTTTTGCAGCAACTTGGATGGAGCTGGAAAAGATCATGCTTAGTGAGATAAGCCAGAAAGCGAAAGAAAAATACCGGATGGTTTCACTCATAGCAGGAGTATAATGGACCAGGCGAGAAAATAACAAAAATAATGAACAACCATATACCAGAGACATTTTGCAGGGGTGGAGTGGGGAATGGGATCAAAAACGGGGGGGGGGGAGGTAAATGCATGGGATTATGGTGATGGCACACGGGTGACTTGGTGATGTGGTGATGGGAAACCCGCGGGGACTACAATTGAGATGGGAAAAAAATGTAAACACGTAAAATAAACTGTTATAAAATTAAAAAAAAAAAAAAGTTTTTCAAAAAAGACCAGAAACAACAAGTGCAGGCAAGGATGTGGAGAAGACAGCCCTCCTATATTGCTGGTGGGAATGCAACTGGCCAAACCCTTATGAAAAGCAGTATGGAAGTGTCTCAAAACATTCAAAATTCAACCCAGTAATTTCACTCCTAGGCACCCTTCAAAAACATTAATTCAAAAAGAAACACACATTCCCATGTTTACTACAGAACTATTTATTTTAGCTAAACAATGAAGACAACCTAAATGCCCCAGAACATATCTAGATCAACAAGATACATTATATATACACAATGGAACACTACTCAGCAATCAAGAAAGATATCTCATGCCATTTGCAGCAACACAGATGGAATGTGAACGGATAATGCTAAGTGAAATAAATCAGAAAGATAAAAATAAACACAGGACAGTATCACTTGTATGTAAATACAAAGTAACTAATAGTCAAATAAAGACAAGCTGAAAACCATTATAGAACTGGGGGGGGGGGGGGTTGGGGACAGGAGAAAGGGTAACAACAAAGAGGGAATGAAGCACCGCGGTGGTAGAATATGGATGAGTTAGTGGTGGATGCACTATGGTAGTTAACCTGATAGGAGTATGCCAATATGTCCCCAGTTAAAAATTAATTTAAAAGTACTTTAATGAACAGTGAGTTTTAAAAATATTGCTTCTGTATAGAAGTAAAAATCTGTCAGAGATTTACTATTAGAAATATTTTTAAAGTAATCATTACAAGCATCAAAGGACTTAACACCAGCAGTATACTTCATCAATCTGCCTATTCTGCTCCCTGCTCTGTCTGGTAAACCCTCTCACCCCTTCACCTCTGGCCTGTACCCCAGATCTTGCATGTACAAATAAATCTTAAAAAGAAATAAACTGGGACCTCCCTGGTGGCACAGTGGGTTGGAGCGCAGCATTGCGAAGCTGGCCACAGCCACTTCAGTGTAAGATCAGAGGTGATCCATATGGCACAGCAGACCTCTTCTGTTTCCCCCACTGCTCCTCTCAGCAGTGTAATTTTGTCCATCTGCCTGTTCTGCTCCCCACTCTGTCTCTGGTGAATCTGCTCATCGCCCCTGCACCTTTGGC